TAGGATTTGTATTCTCAGAAACATTCTTAATGCAATTTACACTCACAAAAATGTATTATTCATACAATCCCAAATATGTTTTGGCTTTAACCAGGGCAATTCTAAAACTTTAGGTATCACCTTAACTTGTGGTTAGCAGGTTTTATTATGACATCAACTATGAGTTATCTCATGCTTGGCATTTATGTGATACATTTTCATCTACAGGTGCCAGTGAGTTTGTATGCAGTGATGCTTTTAGTTTGAAAATAATGTTAAGACTTCAGTTGTAGTTATAAATCAACTCATAAAATTTTTTATTGTTGATTATTATAAAGCTAGCATTTCAAGTCAAATTTCATAATTGACATCTGGCAGTCAACATGTTAAGTGACACAGAAAGGGTTGATCAGCCATAAAAATCAAATTATTTAATCATTCAACCAATGATTCTGAAAATTTAAAAAAAAAAAAAAATCAAACAAACGTTTTTGCAATTCATAATCAGAAATCATTTTTCATTTATTACTATCAATTTAGCACTTCAAATTATGATATTACTATTGATTAAGCACTCCAGATTGCAATATTTCAAAAAAGTGCTAAGTTTAGTTTATAATTGAAATGATTTGATTACAAGCAAACAAAAGCATTTACAATTTTGTGTTGTTACAGATCAGAAGAGCCAACTTTGTTGTTATAGATCATTAGAACTGGTTTTGTTTTTAGTAATGACCTGTTTTACAAAATGTTTACCTTCTATGGTGTTTACTCTGATAATATAAACATGAGATTCAATCTACTAATTTTAGAAATAACTAAATTTGCTGAAAGCATAATGAGTATAAAACATATTTTTGGATGTTGTAATATGTAATATTGAAGTAGGGAAATGGGATCTCAGAGTATCTAAAATAGGATGTTGATTAAAAGGAAAACTCAAACAATTTGCCTGTTCATTTAAGCAAATCTAAACAGTTTCCCTCCATTTCCTCTCTCTTTCTCTCTCTTGAATGTGCCAACTTTCTTATCAGCTTCTGAGCAACTATTCAGAAAGACAGAACTAGTGTTGTGTTCAAAGGTTTTCCATGGCAGTTAGTGGTCATGTTATTATGGAGACAGATACCTGCTGTCAAGTGAGAGGGAGGAGGAAGAAGAAAATAAATACACTGGGCAACAAAATAGATTTTTTTTAAGTTGTGTATGTTTTTCCAAATGATTTAGGACAATTTTTCACCACTGAATCTGAAAATGTCATTCCTTTCTCTCTGATCAAGTGATGTTTTTGTGCTAAGTTGAGTTTTCAAAAATCCAATCTTCTGACTAAATCGATTACATTTTTTTGACATTACTGATTGAACTTTGTAAATATTTCTCATACAAAATAACTTTTTAAGAGTAAAAAATTGTTTTCTAACACAAGTTATTAATTAAAGATTACAAACATTGATTACAATAAATTGAATTCTATACATTCATAAATGTAAGTACATGTAAATTGCATGTTACGTCATCATTGTTCAAAATTCTGGGCTTGAAATTCCATTTATTTGAAGCCTTAGAATGATCACCAATAGGGAGTCTCTCTTCAAAGTCCACCAGTAATCAGCCATCATGACTGCATCCCAGATACCTGGTCTCCATCTCTTTCATGTCCTAATGGAATCTCTCCCGCTGTTTGTTACTCATTGATCCCAGACTATCAGGAAATATGAGAATAAATAATGCATTTTGATGCTCATGTTGCATCTGAGTTTCTGAAATTAGTCAGCATATTGATGGCAAGTTCTGTCTAGTTCCTGGCTTTGTTGTTGCCAAGAAAGTACCTTACAACCAGAATAAAAGCCTTCCATGCTTCCAGTTCCACATCATACATCTGGATCTCTGATGAGCTGACAGATTTGAGGACCATCAAAGATGCCAGCTTTCAACTTCTTTCAGTCATCAATCCTGGAAAAGCCTGGCACAAGTAAGTGAAGCCACCACAATCCTTCTCCAGAACTTTGATGAACTGCTTGGTCAAGCTGAGCTTGATGTGGAAAAAAAAAAAAGAAAAAAAAAGTATCCTGTCTCTACCCACCAGAGGCTTATTGATGATGCTCATTACTCTGCAAGGTATCAGTTCCTCCTGAACAGGCCAGTTCTTTTTTGTACAATGCTGAGCAGTGTCCCTACTATCCCACATGCACAGAAAACATGGGTACTTGGTGAACCTCGACTGTTGTCCCAACAAAAAGTACATCTTCAGGTCAACACAAATAAACCACTCATTCTGATCATAATGAATTTTCTCCAGCACATACTTCACTGCTTTATATTTCTCATTCAGTGTAGTTGAGTGAGTGCGGAGTACAAAGGCAATCTGGCTGCCGTCGTGCATTTTTCAGTGATCACTTGCTGCTGTAAATGAACAGTCTCCAGCCTTTGGGTTCATACTGTGGCACTCCAATTTTATGCAGAAGCTACACAAAATCTGTACAGTACATCAGAGAAAAAAAATGGAGGTACTGTTGATGCTTGTTGTGATAGAAGGTGATGCAAACACTGTCAGAGGAGGTTTTTTTCCTTCAATCTGGATACCAAGAGTTCAGCTGAGGACTGTAAACTACATCATTTAGTTCCTTTTGGGGAAAAAGGATGTACAGCATCATCATCAAAAACCACCACTACTTCTTCTACAACAACACCACCACCACTACGCCTACTACTAATACTACTACTTTGTATTCTATGGTTTTGTATTGTACAGTATAATTGGTGTGTTTTGAGATGTAAAAACTTTCGTGCATGTTATTGGTGTAGAAATATTTTGGAGGTGTGTTTTAATATTTATGAAGCTATATTTAGCTGATAATACTTCTGATTGGTTAAAATTAATACGTTTATAATTAAAATAATAATTAGTTTTATTGTGTGAAATATGTTGTATATTTAGATATTTCAATGGATATGACAATGTAAACAAAAACATAAAAAGCAGGATGTGGCTATAGCTTTAAATGTTGATCTGATTGAGCAAAACCAATGTGATTTTTGGATTCAGCACATTAAAATTGTCCTAAATCAGCTAAAAGATTTAGACAATAAATTTGGTGTTGACCAATGAAATCTCACATTTAACTTATGAAATAGCAGTCCTCCACATCCTTTTTCAGGTACCATCAGTTGGCTGTGTTCAGCCTGACATCTCCAAAATTTTTCTTTGGATAGCAGGGCTAAAATTGATCAGACTTCTTAAACAAAACAGAAGTGTGAAAGATTTAGAAACAGAAAATTGTTTGATTTTTGGCTTTCTTTTTGAGATGTTCTTTCTTTTTCTCTTTATTTTGTCCCAAGTGGCATGACAACCACTTGTCTGAATTTGAAGCTGTAGTGTCTGTTTGTTAGCAATAACATTTTATTTTTTCCTTCATCCTTTTTTCTTCAAACCTGCACTATTATTTACTGCATATTCACAAACTTATAATTTGAGGGTTTTTTCTTGTTAGTAAAACTACCATTTCTGTTTTCAAATGGATGTGTGCATTAATGGCAATGTTTTATCCACCATGAAAAGAAATGACTAAGACATTTTTTCACTAATAATAATTTTAAAAAATATCCTAAAACATTTCCATTTGTATTTTCCTGTAAAAATGCACATTTGTATTTATTCACTTTTTCAAACTTTGTCATGTGCATACTTTAGACAAAAAATTCCTTTCAATGAAAATTTTGATGGATTTTATTAATATTCCTCTTCCCCCATTTTTCTGTTTTGATATTTTAAATGTACAATAATTTTTGTACCAGATTTGTTTTAATTATTTTTTTTTTTTATTGTTTCCTTTGTTTTTAAGAACATTTCCACTATCAAATGGAACACATTTTTAAAATGAAATGAAACCTGACAACTCTAAAACCTCCCATCTTCACAGTCCTGGTGTTTAATCATTGGTTACCAAAAAACGCAGTTATGACATTATTAAGGCTAAGGCAAGCGTTAATCAGTGAAGCATAATTGTTTCCCTCCAACCTCAATTCAAAGCTCCCTTTTCCGCTGCCTTTTCCTTTCCCAGGTGTAAAGAAGAGGGAGCAAGTAGTAATAAGGTCGGGAGTAAATAGAAAACATAAAAATTTGGGGGAGGGCCGTAGAATGGGCTCAGGTTTTGTTAGGGGACTTTTTTTCCTTTTTTTTTTTTTTTTTTTGTTAAAAAAAACAGCTGCGGCAAGTGGTGGAAAAGTGTGGGGGCTTTGATATAATACAGATTTTTGGATAGGTATAGGTAGCGACAAGAAGCAAAAAAGAAGAAGGAATAGTGAATTAGGAAAGAAAAAAGAGAAGTAAAAAACAAAACAAAGAAAGGATTTAAATTATATGAATGTAAGAGAAAAATCTCTAGAAAAAGAAAAGTAAAACTAAAAGTATTTAATATTTATGAGTCATTGACGCATCGTTTCTCTCTCTCTCTCTCTCGCAATAAGAATTAACGACAATATAGAGAAAGACACTACTTATTTACAGTTAGCCACAATCTTGATCTTTTTGTCCACAAAAAATAGCTTTTTGTCACTTTCTTTTGACATACCAACCTTGGATTTCCTTCAACTCTAAATCTATGCTTAGTAAACAACATTAAGAAGGCCTGGGGTAGAGACAGAATGTGACAAAGCAAATAAGAATAAAAGAATCAAAACCAAGCCGGTGGGGAGAGAATGGAGCAGGGTTAGAAACAAGAGGGAATATGCAAGAAAGAAGCAGAGAAGGGGTTCATATTCCGACTGGGTAGGATTTGGTGTCATTCATCATCATCACAGACTTGCATCTCGACCAGCAGCAGTAGCTAACAACAACAACTATATTGGCAAGCGTCAGTCGCATTTTACCGTCGTTCTGCGGTGAGGTTGGCACACCTACTAAGGACGGTGCCGGTTTTGTTCCTTCCATCCTTCTTTACCACTGACTATTCGTCTTAACCTTTTTATTTTTGTCTCATCTGCACGGCCTTTTTTACTCTGACGAGAAAGTATCCCACGCCGAAATGCAGACGGTGACCAGCCCGACAGTGACCACACCAACTCTTAATACGTAAGAAAAACGAAAATATTAATTTTTTTCTCTCTTTTTAGGTTTTTTTTTTTTTTTTTTTTTTTTTACACATTTGTTTTTTTTTGTATTCCTTTCATCGGAAATATTAGTTTTTTTTTCTTTCTTTACTAGTCTATTTTAATTTACTTTTTATTAAAAAAGTTAATCGATAAAAAGAAAAACATTTCGATTTTCATCACGGAAACTCTTGAAGAATGATAAATAAAATTTCGGATTTAATTTAATTTTTAATTCTCTTTAAATCTTGGAAGAAAAGGTTTTTTGGTTGTTTCATTTCTTTTTTAAAATAAACTTTTTTTTGTGTTAGAACAAGAATTGATTGTAATTTTTACGTTATTTAATTTTATTGATAATTAATTTCCTTTTAGTTTTTTTGGTATACAAAAAATCTTGCATTATTAAAAAATAAAAAGATGCATAAGAAGTGGATTTAATTTTTATTTGCATTTAACGAACCTGATAAATCATAGCGACAAAAAACAAATACGTCGCAAAAATCTTAATACATCAAGCAGATGTTTGTTTTTAAAATAAAATTGTTAATGTTTATTTTCTATAACAAATTGCAGATGTTTCGTTCAAATTTTGTTTATCAAAAACAAAAATCATCCTGACATCTAAGTTTTACTCTTCTTAATCGATCATTTATTGACAATCACGTTATTTTTATCAATACCGTGATTTAAAAGTTGTTTTTATATTTTATTTTTAAGCTAAAATATATTTTTTTAACTTAAGGATAATTATCATAACATTAGTTAATTAGCAAAAAAAAAAAAAAAAAGTAAATTATTTTGTTGTAGAAAGTTGCTAGTTGTCAGATAAAGCGTATGTTAGACTTTGCAAAAAAACAAAAAAAAAAGAAAAGAAAAAAGGTTTTCTGATTGCTGCAGTTTTTTTTTATGAATGAATGAATGAATGATAGTGAATGGATACTTCAACGAAAGACGGAACGCTGGCAACCTTCTACAAATGAATGACCTATCAAGAAGAGAGAGTATTATTAACCAGGATTTGAGAAATATGAAGGTAGACGGAAAAAATAAAGAAAACAGAATCAGGAATATAGAAATCGGGAATTGGTTTTAAAAAATAAAAAACCCTAAATCTTTCAAAAAATATAGAAATTAAATATTCCCACGCAAAAATACTTAACGTTTGTTTTTGTTTTTTTTCAAGACAGTTGTTTAGTTTTTTTGTTTTATTTTAATTGATTTGAAAAAAATGAGTTTTCAATTTTCGTTATTAAGTAAGTAATTAATTGATTAATTCAATACTGAAGCGGTCTATACCACTAATGAGATGTTTAATATTTATTATTTTAATTTCTTCAAATTAACCCCCGAGACCTTTCACTAGTAACTCATTGAAGTTAATCAATATTTGAGTTTTTTGCTGATGCGATTATGTAAAAAAAACCCATCGAAATAAATCAAACAAGCTTTGCTGTTTCTTAATCAAATATTTCAGGTGCAAGTAGAGCTTTGTGTAAATTTAACACTTTTTTTTTACATAGCATCTTCAAAAAAGCGTGTTTTGTTTTCGGTTTTTTTTTGGGGGGGGGTTGTTTTCTTTGGCTTTCACTTTCCACAATTTTAAAACTAAAAAAACTACAAGTGTGGAACGAGGAAATAACTCCTACCCATTTCCCTCCTAGCTTGTTTCATGCCGCGGGAAATGAATTGTCGAAGTAAAATTATGATATCCATATACACAGCGAGAGTTAATTCCAAAGTTTATAAAACACCAACCAACAGTAACAATAACGGAGTACTTTTTAAAGGCTTGGTTCGTTGTTTTCTTTTAAAACAGGTGTCTGTAATCCAACGGCTGGTTCATTTCAGCAGCAATAGACTGTCTATTAGTGTTTCTGGGAACCCAAAAATAATAATTTTATTTGTTTAAATATAAAAATGACTGTGTTTTGTTACAAAGTTACACCAGTCTCAATTGGATTGGATATTTCAGATTATTGAAGTTATGTGAGTGAGTGAGATTAAGTGCTAGTTCAAGTTAATTTTTAACTAATAAAAACAAAAAAAACAAAACAAGAATGAATGACTGCTGATAACAGCTGTTTTTGGTGATGTATTATTGTGGGATATAGAAGTTGTGATAAATTTCCTTGGAAAGAAGAAATCAGAATTATCCTTTGCAGATAAATTTATTCCAAAGGAAAGGAATTCAAAGGAGCATTCAGTTTAACATTCAGTAAAAAAATTTTGACTTTGTTTTTTGAGGAAATTAATTTAAAAAAATCAACTTGATTCTTGTTAGTTGTACAAATAAATAAAAACTACTAGTTAGTGATTTATTTTTGTAAAGTTTCAAATTTCTAAATAATGTTTTCATTGTAATGTAATCACTTGGTTTGGTGTTATAAAAACAAAATAATTTAATTAATAATATCTGACCTCATGATTCTTTTTTAACATTTTTTTTTAAAGAAGCAGCAGCTGAAGCACTAATTTTCATCTGAGAGCAAAACAATTAATTTTCATATGCCATGTTTTCCAAAAGTGACATTGCCATTTTAAAACATTATTAAACAGTGGTTCTTCCATTTAATGCTTTAAACCAGCAATGTCACTTTTGGAAAACATCTGACAATTGTTTCATAGATTCAAATTTGGAGAAAGATTATTTAAAAATCCTCAAACTCAAATGCTCCATATCAACTTTCCTTCCAAATTCATATCAGCTCATACTTTATAGTTATGAATTTGTTAAAAATAATCAAAACCCTTTTTCATCTTGATATGCAAAATAAAATATTTAGTTAGTACTTGGCATCTTGCAATGGTGCAGCTGTTAACAAGCTAGTTTCACAAATCCTCATCAAGTACCCAACACTGATAGCCTTGTTTCATACACAGCTACTGGATGAGACTTCAAAGCTAAATAAATAAATATCTCTTCAGCTAGTACAGCCAATTTTCAGATTAATTTCCTTAGACTTCACCACTGTACATGGATGTCTGACTCCTTGTAAGAATGAAAAAACCTGTTTGTGAATCTCTAGCTGCTCCAAAGACCTCTTTAATTAGAAGCCGTTAATTCCTGTCAGTGGCTACTGGTTGGAGACAAGGAGTATTGCTAAACAGTAGACACTGACACAATCACACAGTCATTTTCAGCTTCATTCTTGACAATACCCGAAATGGGGTTTTGATGGACGCCACCAACAGCAGACATGGGACTAATTGAATTAGTGATAGTGATTGAATGATTATACTATGAACACCATTTTTCATTTCTAATTTTGTGCTTTACTATTTCTCTAAAATGTGGGATCAGCACCCTTAAATTCCACTACCATTTCCCTTTTCTTCTATATAATTACATTTTCTTTTAGTACTTCTATACTGTTTCTTGCTTATCTACTCAATGCTAGTTCAGCTCTTTTGTTGGGTGTTCCATTAATATACCAACCAACCACTCACACAATTTGATAAGGGAAAGAAGAAATGGGGTTCACAGTTCATCTTTTGTAAGCATGAAAATGCAAAGAAAAAATATTGACACACTCAAATTTTAAAAACTACTAATGCTTTGTGTTACTTAAAAGAGAAAAAAAAAAGTTATAATATTGTATTTAAGGTTAATGGTTCAGTTTTCCATTAAACAAAGTTCATTTACTTTAATTTACCAAGAAACAAGGTGATAACTATAACTCTTTGAATTTGCCTTTTTTTAATCATTTCACCCCATGCAAGGCAATAAAACCAGTAAGACATTATGGGTTACTGAGTGTGAAAGAATATAAAAAATTATTAAAGAGCCAAGAACAATAAAAGAACATAAATTAAGTTTTGGTTATTCCTTTTGGTTCTTGTGACAAAAATAAAGCTAAAAGAAAAACTGGTCAAAATGAAAAAATAGAAATATAACTTAACAGCAGCAGACATCCTTTAGTTTTTGGTTGGTTAATTTTTAAAAGGAAATTAACAGATTTGAGAAATGTGTCTGCTATTCTTACTTAATGCAAATTAAAAAAAAGACTTGTTTGACAATGTGCTTTAAAAATTGAATACATTAATTGAAATAGTCAGATATGAATTGCAGCTCAAATTACTAAAGGCCATTGGGTTTAATTGCTTCAAACTTTGTAAGTTCTGAGAATGACTAACCTTAACATTGTTGCTATGAAAAGGCTTTGTAACAAACAGACATTTATTTCAAATTTTATAAAATTGTAAAAGTTTTATGCTATTACATTACTCCTGGTAGTCTTTTTTTCTTTTTTTTTTCTTTTTTAATATATTTCTCTTCAGTCTTAGAATCTATCAAAGATATTCTTTTTAAATGCTTCAAAATGTAAGCATTGTTTTTGTTTGGTGTACACAATTTTTTTTTTTTTACTACTCACAAAAATGGAGGATAATAAGCAGATTCCAATTTGGGTGTGTTCGTAGCCAAAGCACATATTTGAAGTTAAGCAATTTTCATTTTTTGAATTTTCTGATCTAGATCAGTTGCACAAAATATTAACATAAATTACCTTATCAAGATGGGAATAGAATATTTAATCACATTTCCTCTTTTTGCCATTATGACTTTGCCTGGAGGTATTTGCAGTTGATGTGTGTCTGTGATGCTGGCAAATTTAATGGAAATAATATTATTAATTTCTTACTGTTGCTTGCCAAAAACTTGTTTACACCATTACCAAATATGAAGGAGGCTATGAAGATGGAACAACAAATTCATAGCCTAATACAATTGCAAACTATTCAGCTGTTAAACAAAAGTTTTGTCATATTTACTATGACAAAAAAGCTGGAAGAACATCCTCTGTATGTGTTGATTCTATAATTTGGGTCAGAGGTTGTATTAGACTAATTCTGATCTGAAATTTTCACTGTATAATGTTCAGTTTATATGATTAATTGTATTAATTAAAAGGAAAGATTATATTGTAAAATAAACACAGCTTTCATCATTAAGCTATTGACTTATTTTTACCTATGTACTTATAT